TTGATGAAAGATTTTGATCCACTTCAAATGTTGACTAGTATATTGTCTGCACTACTGTTCTTTTACTACTTGTGCACAGCACTGGCTAAACAAATGTGCCATTTTGTCGTACCAATAAGGCAGAGAAAATGAAAAACACTTGAGAGAGTCTAAAATGTGTTCTCTCTTCCTGTTCCTCTCAGACTGAGCTGCTCTGATTCAAGCAGAGCGATGGTACAGGATTGATTAGACTCCAGAGAGAGCGAGAGCGAGCGAGGTTTGATGTGTAAGGGTGTGAGCGAGGCTCTCAGCAGGCCAGGGACGAGCTGAGTGCTGACAGTCAGGAGTCTGCAGGTGGATGCATGCTGAATCAGCTCTCCTCACCTGACCACAGAGATACTGAGTCTGACACCAGCAGCCAACGGCCCATAAAGACAAACAATATTACAATAGTACTTCAGCTGAACGCTGGCCTGCGGAAGGACCAAAAGAGAAAAACGACAGCAATGATCAATCATGAAAAATGTGACTTGATTTCACCTTTGAGCATTATCGATTTTATGCAATAAAAAAAGCATTAACATTAGCAACACAAATAATTCAATAAATGAAATTGTAGAAACTTACTGTGCAGTAAAACTAAATATTACACAGTATTTTTATTCTCCAGACCTTTGATGAAATTAAACCACTTCAAAAACATTTTGAAACATGCATGGTAAATCAGTGAGGAGTCATTTTTTATTGAATAAAGCTTTCAGTTTTACTGGAGCAAAAGATAAACGCTAAGGCAACGCTAAAACCATCATTTTTCATTCACTGGTCAGTTTTGAGATTTTGGCTAATGTGTCTTCTTTCAGAATAGTGAAAAGAAAACCTCTAAAATACACATTTAATTGTTTATTTCAATCCATATCTTTAAAGGCTGTTTTCTCAAAATATTTATTTAATGAGCCAGAAATCTCTACTCCAAACATTTTACTTCAAAAAATATGTTTTTTCCCCCTACTTATTGACAGTATTTTCTCATTTAATGTCAATAAAATAAAAATAATAATTTTTAACCTGGCTTTGCAATTTTTAGATTTCTATTAAATGTATGCAAATTAGTACGTTTAACTAGATAATGACATTTTAGATTTATAATTCAAAACAACTGTCTTAATATACTATGAATAATCAACTGGGGGAAGTATAGTAATACTGTATCTATTAGTAAAAAAATAAAAATAAATAAATAACCTTATTCACCTGTAGAGTCTTACCTTAAAAAATTACCACAGCCAGAAAAAAAAAAACAAAACACCCATAAATAATGAGGCTTGATAAATCCTCGCTAAAGAGTTTCTGTTTTAGTTTGTGACTGTATTTGTTCTCAGTCGTGAGATGCTTGTTAAAATCTTAACAGCATCATCAGGGTCCAAGAGTTTGAAAGAAGAATGTGAGCCTAGAAGCAGAACGTGTGTAATCAGGGTTCTGGTGGCATGAGGGGTCCGAGGGGCCCAGACTCAATCAGGATAGAGCCTGATGGACTATCGAGAGGACACAGTGAGCAATCTCATCTTGTCATCTACTGAAGAGTTAAGACGCCTTCACTGGACTGGACAAATAATCCATGTTTTCATTAAAAACGTAATAATATATATATATATAAAAAATAGCAATACACTTAAAACTTAAAATATAATAACATAAAAAAAATTAAGCAATAAATTAAACAAAATATAGATTAACATAACAGTGTAATTGTTTAGGTCAGTTTATACAATTTTTACCAGACAAATGTCAAAAGAAAAAAAAGAAAAAAAGAAATCAGTAAAATCAGTTGTGCATTGTAATGCTTTTTGTACATGTCTTTAAGTGTCAGTTCCATGTCTTTTATTTTGAAATGTAGTTTGCTTTTTATTTTGAAGTATCACCATTTCTTGTGAGATCTTGTTTTATTCATTGGATCTCCAGTGTTTGAATGCTGAAAAATGTTTCATTCCCTTTCCAGCATATGGAGGTAAGAAGTCAAGTCTCAATGCAGTGTGAGTGCATCAAATCCTATCCACAAACTAATGACCTTTCCCAACTGTCTTTAGGTGTATCTTGTCCCAGGTAAAGATGAAATATGTTATGAGATGATTAAATATTTATCAGACGAATATTTAGGTGTGGTTTAAAGTTTTTTTAATAAGATTTGGAAAACAGGGATCATGCCAGTGGATTGGAAGCACGGAGTAATTGTGCCGATTGCAAAACCAGGAAAAGATCATTCAAAGGCTAGTAATTATAGACCTATAGCTTTGACATCCAACCTATGCAAGCTCATGGAACGGATGGTCATGAATAGATTGATATTTGTAATTGAGAGTAGGAATATTTTTTCAGCATATCAAAGTGGGTTTCGAAAGGGGCGTAGTACTATGGACTCTATAGTTTATCTGGAAAATTAAATAAGAAAGGCTCAAATTAAGAAGGAGGTATTAGTGGGAGTCTTTTTTGCACATTCTTCTAGAATGTGATGCGTATGAAAGAGAAAGAAATCAGCTTAATCATAAATTAGGTTTGATGGCACATGATAAAGTATCACTCAAGATATTACTAGGGAATAGACAAATGCAATCAAGAATTAAAGAAGAAGTGTTCAATTATCTAAAAAAGACAGGAAATATGGAAAGAATATAAATTGTAATTGTGGTATTATTATTATTATTTTTTATTTTTTTAAATGTCCTTCTCTCTACCAAATCTGTTCACTCCACACTCCAGATCAGTAGGTGGCAATAATGCACTTTTAAGTTGGTTTGCCAAAACCGCCAATAAACATCAGAAGAAGAAGAAGAAGGTGTATCTTGTTGTCAGGTGATCTTGTTGCATTGTTTACCCTTGTGCATTTACAGCCCATATGTTTGCCTTTGTGTTTATCATGTACTTTCCAGGCCAGTGTTGTTGTTTATAGTCACAGTGAAGTTGCTATCTAGAGTTCTTCTAGTCAGGCCTCGACTATCTGCTCAAGTCCTGCTTTGTTTTGTATGTGATTGGAAGAGAAGCCAGAGGGAGACTGAGAAAATGACAGGGATAAATTGAATGTATAGAGGAGAAGGAATACTAAAAGAGATCCTGACAGAGAGCGATAGAGATTTGGGGAGCCACAGTTTCTTATCAGTAAAGGTCACTCGAGCAATTACTCGACATAATGATGAACGCACGCTATCAGAAGGCATGTGTTCTGTGGACTGAAGGTCTGTTGTTATTTTTCATGGGAATACATGCCTGAAAGTCTTGCTCCGTGACTTTTATTGAAGCATATGGTGACTTCGAGGTCTTTCAAATATTTACTGTAATAATCGGAGCTCGTTTTCATGGCCTGCATGTAAAGTGAATTCACTTGGGTCAGACAGAGGACGAACTCAAGCTGCAAATATTGATCACAGTGAAGTTAAAATGTTAAACACGGAAACAGCAATTACATATATATGGGAGGCCGATTATAGGCCAAAACAATTGCATGTAAACAGAAAGAAAGAAAGAAAGTAAGAAAGAAAGAAAGAAAGAAAGAAAGAAAGAAAAACTTGGTTTAGCTGGTTTTCTTGATAGCCTTTACTATCATACTTAACACCATATACCAACATAAACAGACATTTTTTTTGTATTTTATAAACCATAAAAATGCATAAAACATTTACATACATAAAATAGACATTAAATATATTTATTATGATGTATTGGTTATTAAATGACATTCATTTTGCCTATCTATCTATCTATCTATCTATCTGTCTGTCTGTCTGTCTGTCTGTCTGTGTCTGTCTAAGGTTTACGGTTTAATTTTTTTTTTAAAGAAGTCTCTTTTGCTCACCAAGGCTAAAATCAGTGTACATATTAGTAAATATTATTTCATTTTAAAATATCTGTTTTCTGTGCAAATGTATTTTAAAATGTAATTTATTGCTGTGATCAAAGCTGAATTTTCAGCATCATTACTCCAGTCTTCAGTGTCACATGATCCTTCAGAAATCATTCTAATATGCTGATTTGCTGCTCACAAAACATTTCTGGTTATTATCAATGTTAAAAACAGTTGTCCTGCTTCATATTTTTGTGATGATGATGAACAATGTTTATTTGGACTAGAAAAGTCTTCATTGCCACTTTAAAAAAAAAAAAAAAAAATTAATGCAGCTTTACTGAATAAAAGTATATTTTCTTTATATTATAACTTCTTACTGACCTCAAACTTTTGAATGGTAGTGTATGTGTGTGAACATATTTGTTGTGTAACAGTGTGTTCTCTCTCTCTTTCTTTAGCTGTAAAACTTGCAAGAATCTGATCGTTCACCCTGAAAGTCTTTTAGAGTTCACTTCTGAACTTTCTCATTTAGCAGATCGATCAGTCGCTGAGGACTCAGTCCAGCAGTAATGAATACCCACTGCTTATTTCTCTTTCTCTCGCCGCTGATTTTAGCGTCCTGCTGAGAAACACTTGCCTAGCTGAAAAGAGGAACACACACACACACATAGACATAGTTTACAATATGCAATTCAGTATCTTAATATTTTAGCATGCACTGTGGTTTTACAGTACCATCGTTTACTGCGTACCAGGGTAAGATTTATAAAATCATGAGAATCATATCACAAATTACCTTGGTATTATTTTTGAAGGGACTTTTGTCGATATTTTTTGAGTACACTAGCGTGTATGTAGATGCAGGTGGCATCAAAACCAGCAGACGTAACTCCAGTTTTGATTTCACGGTAATTTAAACTTTAATACTCGATTTTATTTTTTAAAGACATGTCAATCTCTGTCTTCTCACATCAAGAGAGTCCCCTCATGGTTTCCCTGGCAACACGCAGTTCCAAACCGAGAGCTTGAGTTTTTTTCCTAATTTCCTCACATCTTTTTTCTCAGTGGTAATCTGTCAGGTGAAAGATGCAGATTTTCTGACAGGCAGATGCCCCCGGAGGAGGCCACAGGAATGAATGAGGGGAAATTGATTTGTTCAGACGGCCCGTGAGGCAGAGCGGGGAGAAGGATCTGTACTCGCTTACACTGATTGATTTCTGGGGAGATGACCAGGTCCTGTTCCCCTCCTCACCTGATGGCCCGAGTGAGAGGATAACAAAACGTCCCTCAATCTATTTCACCGCCCCCTCCTCATAAATTGAATTGTTACGCATGAATAATCTTTCCGGTACATGGAGCCGAGTTACTCTCAGTGCATTAAAGACCGGAAGCCTTGCCACGTTCTCTATGAGTGATGAAATAAAAATCCCCAGCCTCGTTTTTATTTGCATGAGACTTTACCAACATGAATGCATGATGCAATCTTCAATAAATCTGGAGAATAATACAAATGAACATGTTAGAAAAACAGACAGTGTCATAAAGTTTGAACACTTCTGATTTCTTTCAAGATGATGTGAAATTGATTTCATGCATGAAAATACTTTCTTGTTTGTGTGTGTGTGTGTGTGTGTGTGTGTGTGTGTGTGTGTATAAATGTCCCAGGCTGTATTGGGCATGCTTCATCAGTGTGCATTATTCTAAAGAAAAAATATGTTTGTTTTGATCATATTTCTTCAAAATGTAGTACGTTTGGGCTCTGAAATTACTTTTCTTTCCTGCTGACATATCCAAGACCATGCAGCTGTGGAATAGTAATATGATAGTCTAACTTTTCAGGATCCAATCAACTTGCGCCCTACATTGTTTCACTGCTGAGTTTTCTGATTAATTCGGAAATAAGGCACATCATGAAAGCTGAAGGTGAAAGGTATCATTTTACACTGCCGTTGGTCGAACAAACAGATCCTGCCCTAATTCATCGGCATCCCGTTTCATGCAGTTACTGAGTTTTCTCATTTACTGACATTATGATTCTGTATTTATGAGGATAGATAGATAGATAGATAGATAGATAGATAGATTAAGGTGTTAATTTAGTTAATTTAGTATTATTCACACTTAGCATTAAAATATGGGCCTTGTTAAAGGTAAGCAATTTTAGCTAGAAACATTTTTTTACACCTTCGCGCAGGCAATAGTGATTTGTGGGCAGGGCTACTGTAGCAAGCTGAGCCAGAGAGTTATTTATTCAGTGATAAAAACAAAAAACAATTTCTGATTCCGTTACAGAAGTGTAAGACAAAATTTGAAGACTTGTCAAAATACACACAGACAGGCAACGGTGTAAAACAAAGTAAACATTGGTAGTGTTTTTCCAAGATGGAGAAATCTGATAGATTGTTTGGGTTTCAATCTACATGACAAACTTCCGGAGAACAGGTGAGCTAAACTTCAAGTTAAAAGTATTTCTAATATGTTGGACTTTTTATTGTAAGCAGCCTACTTTTACATGAGACATGCCTTCACTTTTATAGAGCTGTAAGAGCTTTGTTTGTGATTTTTGAGTTGAGGGAGGCTCGACGCAAGGTTGTTTGAAAACATGCTTTATTTTGTAGTACCGCTTGGAGACACTGAAACTGCCTAATGCCTATTCTAGCTGTAAAGAAAGGAAAGGAAAGGAAAGGAAAGGAAAGGAAAGGAAAGGAAAGGAAAGGAAAGGAAAGGAAAGGAAAGGAAAGGAAAGGAAAGGAAAGGAAAGGAAAGGAAAGGAAAGGAAAGGAAAGGAA